TCTCGTTACACCACAAAACGGGCACCGGCGACGCATGTTAATTTCTTTGCGTGTGTACTCCCGTACATATGCGTACTCACATATGTACATATGTATGGATGTATGTACATTTGCATGCGTATGCATCGAGGGTTGGTTTTGAATATTTTCCAGTCGAAAGTCTTCCCTCCTTCAACTAATAATTGCTATATTTCCACTGCTAGGCGGGCATAAGCACGCACTCTATGCTGAAATTTAAATTCTATGCTGTCTGCATGTCAACCACAGACGTCGGGTTGCATGCTACACACTTAATAGGCGAATGAGTTTTGTAAGTATGCACTGTCAAAGACCAACAACAATAACCCACAACACTGCATGCACACAAACCCGGGTGTGTCGTTTGGTCCACAAGTCGTCTGCTGTTCACTTCCGCATCCTTCGGCGTTGTGAGCAGCAACAGCAGCAGCAGCAGCAGCTTTTCAATTGTTCTACTACGTTTGTGTTGATGTAGCTGTTGCCATGACTATTGTAAGTTTTACAAGTACGACAACTGTTTCTGTGTGCAGGACGGGTTCTGCGTTATGAGCGCTTATCCTCCTTATGCCCTTTCTACGGTGCGTTATGTCATTCATCATTATCCTCGCCACATTCAGCATTCAAATAGAAATGTAAATATGTAGTGTGGCATGCATTATCATCTCAGTTTCATATTTATAATGCATTTTATGAAAGTAAGCACTTGGATTTGCACAGCAACTCACTCACTCTCCCTTTTGCTCATTCCTTCCGCGTTTGGCAGCTGTTTGCTGATGATATTGGCGTGACGTTTGGTTTTTTGTTCCTTCTATCGTATTGAAATTTTGTTCCTCCTGGTTCTTTTATCCCTAGATACTCGATGAAGAATATCGATAATATTATCGATTTTTTATTCAATTTATACTAATACACTTTTTTATTATCGAATAATTTGGACACTTTTTGCTTTGCCAGATATTTTGTAAAATATTACCGGCTTTCTTTTTCCAAATTAAAAATCAAATTAGCGTAACTTTGAGAAAATATCGATAAACTACACTTATTACTCTTATTTAATAGCAAAAACAATTTTAATATTTTATCGCTGCACTAAATAATATTTTTTGCTGTCGTTGCTATTGTTTTAACCGGAAATAATAATCGAATATTGTAGAAGTTATAGTCCTTGGCTGGCTTAAAATTGATGTAAAGAGCCGACTATCGCTGGTTCTATTGAAATTTAGTTGCCTCTTACGACGATCTTACCTTGCCGCCTTACCAACCCGCAGGGATGTACATACATACGTGTATGTTTATTGCTGTTTCTCCTCAATAATTTTTCAGTATTTCTAATTTATTATCGATATCTTGTTCAAATATTGCGTAATTTTCTAATTAATCTAAAAAGTTATTACTTATAGATATTTTTCTAATTAATCGACTGACTAGTAGACAATTTTTTAAGTTGTCAATATTTTTCTGTTTTATATAAATTTTTTTGCCATCAATGTTTTGATTGTTTATCGCTATTTTTCAAACTTATCGATGGTTTTTAGCTTATCAATAATTTTTAGATACTTATCGATATTTCCGTGGTTTTTGACTGCATTAACGAAAAAAATGGAGATATTTATATTTTTATTGATTAATAACGAATTTTGTAAATTATCGATTATCGATGTTTCTGAAAGTTATTATCGATATTTTGCAAATTATTATCGATATTTTGTAAATTATTATTTATATTTCTGTACATTATTATCGATACATTTATAATTTGCTGCCGATGATTTTGTAATTAATCGAAGTTTCTATATTATATAGATATTTTGTAAACTGACGATAATTTTGTAATTTTTAAAGGTATTCTTGAATTTATCGCTAAATTTCAGTTAATTGATATTTTTGTAATATATCGACATGTGTCTATTTCAAACATATATGTGTTTACAGCGACATTTTTGTGATTTGCTGTTTTATATGCTATCGACTTACGTATATGTTATCGATTAATAAATTATCGATTTAAATTTTGATATATATTTTGATATATTAACCTTCTTTGTAAATTGTTATTGACTATTTAAAATTTGAATTTAAATAATATAATATTTACAACCATTTGAAATTTACTTCTCCTAACAGCTTTGTTGCTCTTTCCTTTATAATAAGCTCTTAAAAATAATATAAGTAATCTATTCTTTCTTTTCTTTTCTTTCCAGGTGAGTTCAAAAATCTAATTAAAAACATTGGCGGATATAATGAATATGTATGTAGGTAGACTTAGTATTCCTTATTATAATTTTAAATTTATTTTTCGTCCAAAAAAAATTTTTTTTTGTAAAAATCTAAGTTGAGAATAACTCAAGCTTAAGAATAATTGATTGCTTTCCACTTAAAAAAATGTACTCTCTCGGGAATTTCTAAAAACTTCAGTTCAATTTTTGGAATTGTTTACCGTTGAATAATGACGGTTTTACACACCGCGTTGGTTCAAACAAGTGTCAATTTCTTTTCAATCTATCCATATACTGTCTGGTAATTAAGTTTTACCTCTCTACAAACCATAAATTTTAATATATTTTTTATTGCTTTACTCTAATAAGGAAGCGCCTTTTACTTCTGCTTCTTTTTTATTGCTTTACAATTTTGTTAAAATTTTTTTTTTTATTGTGATTGCAAGAAAAAAATGCTCGTCACGTAGTTTTCATAATGTGGCATGTAACATATGTAACGATTTATGTACATATATGGCCATGTAGCATCTGCAATATATATGTACATACATACATTTGTATATAATGACAAACGCTTATGCACAGAGTTTTAGTGGGATTTTTCACGTACAACCTGATGTGTGAGGTTTAATGTACTTTACGCTCCAACGCATGGGACAACGCCATGCTTTTGTTGGTCGACGACACCATAGTAACCTCATGTACATATGTACGTATATACATATACATTTAGATATGTATGCATTTACTCTAGGCTAGCCAGTTTATTAAATATTTAGATTTAAAGTGGTGGTCATGAAAAATGCAGTACAACGGGTGGAGTGAAAAAAAAAAATTGTAGGGACTTGCAGATATACATACGTTTGTACTTATAAATATTGATGTATATGCATATTATGCAGTTTGCAGACTTTTCTGTGCAAATACATTAGTAAATATTGACAAATATATCGATATCAGTATTTTTTCGCATTTAATATCGATGTTGGCGTATTTTTAGAATATTTCTATATTTTTCATTATTTGTATAACTTTTCTAACTACTTCATTTTTTTTTTTAATTTTATTTTTTAGCGATTCTTTTTATGCTTAACAAAAATCGATATTTTTTTTTTGATTAACGAATTTTTTTATGTTGTTAATTGAAATTGTTTTATACTCGAAATTTAAAAACCGACTTTCTTTCATTTCCTTTAAATTAATGATGTGTACATTTTGAAATCGATAACTTGAGTTTTTGTAATCGATAATTTTTGGCCTCTAAGTTATCGTATATTATTTAGTTTGGGAGTTCTGGAAATCGATAATTTTTGTTTTTAGTATTCGATAACTTTTAATTTTCTGGTTATCGATTATTATTTAATTTCCTTCTATCGATATTTTTTATGGTTTTATGATTAGTTTATAATATATTTTAAATTTTATATTATATATGCATTAGTTTGTTGTATCGATAACTCTTACAGCAATATGTATCTTGAAGATATCGGCAATATTTTGAGGCATATGAGACCTCGTTACTTTTCCAATAGCCCACGAAGTATCTTTCCTCCCACTGTCTGGTTTATAGCAATTTCATTGCCACATAAATATGAGAGCATTCAACCACCTTTAAATATTTCGGCTTTAATTCTTTTCCATCCAACATCATACATATATTGTATGTGTATGTATTTGTGTATATAAATTCTTAGCATTTTATTATGATATTTTTTTCAATTTTTTATTTAAATGCTTTCTCTGTTTAAATGAGGTTTTTATGAATACATTAAAATTATACATATGTACATTGCTACATACATACATACTATGTACATGTGTACATTTTATTCAAGTGAATTTTTCCAAATTGTTTTCTTGCTTCGCTGATCATCTTAACCTGTTGGCTATTAACAAGTGATTCACCTACACGCAAATCTTCCTTCGGGCCCAGTGCAGCCAGCTAGCTTACCATTGCGTGTTTGCTTGTTCTATTTACTCATGTTTTTATTAATATTTTCGTGCGTATATACCCATGTGTGCGTATGCAAAATTATTACTCTCTCTCTTTACACACTCATAAATTTCCCAGCGACAATGAAGACGCACAAATTTTCGTATGTAGGGAGGTACATACTATATAGGAATGCTGGTGCTTTGGCCTTTGACACCGTTTATGCTCCGTTGGTTGCTTCCAGAAACTAAATATATATGTACAAATCTAATCTTCTGCGATCATTTTAGTGAGTTTCTTTATATATTTTTTCGTACTGTTTTTTTTTTTATGCTTGTGCGTGTCAAGTCATTAGCATCATATACGACGCTAATTGGGTTTGATACCGTTATTACATTCTGATTACACCAGCATGAGGTCGTAGATCTTTCTAAACTTTGCTGCTTGTTATTTACACGTTATTTAATTTTATTTTGCTAAATTTTTCATTTAGTTATATTCTTAAGGTCAAAGAAATAGATATTGTTATAACTGTTATATAATATAGAAATTTTGATTAATCTTTTAATTTAGAAAATTTAAATAAAATTACCAAAAAATGTATTTAAAAAGTAAAATATAATGAAATAATAATCGAAAATTAAAAGGAAAAAATAAAGAAGGAAAAAAAATATAAAATAAAATAAAATAAAATAAACTAAAATAAAATAAAATAAAATAAAATAAAATAAAATAAAATAAAATAAAATAAAATAAAATAAAATAAAATAAAATAAAACATAAAATATAAGTTCAAATTAAAGAGAAAAAAAAGAAATGAAATAACAAATTAAATAAATTAAGAATTTGATTATTATAATTAATTTTCATGGATTGTTTCCAATATCGGTTACAATAAATACTTGAAAATAATCGGTACAAGAGGCCATGAGACGATAGGTATATTGATTCGGCTCCCAAAAGGGTCATTTTATTTCAGAAAGTCTTAGTACCAAAAGACACTACGGTTCTCCATTTTTCAAATCTCTATATTTTTCCATTTCTGAAGCGATTGATTTAAACGCCGGATATGTTTTCTGATATAATAGTAGCTTATAGGTAAGAAAGGAAAAGCTGCATGTATCGGTACATAAAATTCTACACAAAAAGAAAAAAACTGTGATTCTGTTTAAGATTTTCGTAATTTTATTTTTATACCAATGTTGTTATGCTCTTTCAATTCTTCAGTTTTTTGAATTTTTAATAATGGTAAAATTATTGTATACGGTTATATGAAGATTTAGCATTTTTGATTATACATTTCGCAGAAGCATCTATAGTGCCCAAAATCTTTGCTTACTCTAAACTCCATCTTATTGCCATATGCACGTAAATGATATCACGCCAACCCTCCCATATAATATCTCTTAGTTTATGAGTACGATTCCTGGAAGAAAATGAAATAAATTCATTAAAAGCAAAATCACTTAATACTTTATAGCAACATTTACAAAGAACTTACAACTTGGAGTGCACAAAATCTCGTTGGTCCTTCTTGGTGGTTAAAGCGAAATTGCCACGCAACACATAGGGACTCTGTTGCATTATCGTACCCAATTGTATCCATAATTGTGTATTTGTATTCGGTGTTGAGATAATTTTTTGTATTACATCCAAACCCATAAAGAAATTTTCGGCTAAATTGCCAAAACCACGTTGATACTCGGGATTACTTCGTACGAATGACATATTGTCACTAATGCGGCGTTGTATGACCAGCCAGGCTGGTCCACCACTTGGATCAGGTAAACAATAGACATAGATATGACCTAAATTATAGGCACTCATATTTAGCGCAAAAATGCCACCCGACTTCTGTTCTATACCATTACTTTGACGGATCGCTTCATCACAGCTACTGGCAGTGGTAAGCGTTTCAATCGGCGGTCTTGAGTTGACTCCCACCACTGCTTGGCTTACATCTGGATAGAAAGCTCTATAGGTAGGCCAAAGACTTTCGTGAGTGGCTTTGGATACTGAGTCGTCCTTCGTTGCGGTTTTGTTGATGATTTTTTCTTTGTTACGTTCTAAATTTGACGGTGAAGTCTTCAATAGATTGTGGTTTGTTTCGTTTTCATTTTGTGGCTGATTACTTTCGGAGTTTTCCATATTTTTCACTTGCTTATCTAACATATTTAGTATTCGATCTAGTAGCAGGTTTTGTGTATTTATAGTTTCCGTCACAGTTTTTTGCAGTTTCTCCAAAATTTCATCTTTTTGTTTTTGCAATGCATTCTCAACTTGCTCAAATCGCAGGTTAGGGCTCGCTAAACTGGAAGAAGATGGTAAATATGTGCAAATAATTTTGACATATTTTATACGCACCTCTGCTGGTTTACTGTGAGTCCTTCTCTAATATCCTCCATTTCCTTTTTAATATCCCTGATTTCATATTGCAGTTTTTCCAGTAATGCCTCGTTACCGAAGAGTAGCGTAAATGCCTCGAAAAGCAGAGAAAACATTTTAATTTAGTTTATTGTTTTTTTTTTCCTTGGAGCAATGCTTACATTTCCTTCCTGCCCCGCTGTTGTGCCAATGGCTAGCCAAAATAATGCCACAATGAATATTTTCCGCGTCATATCGTTGAAATTTATCAAAATTTGTTGAAATTTAATGTCTTTTGGAGACTATCGGAGAGCATCAAAGAAAAAAGAGTATTTTTATTTCAGTTATTCTGCCCACTTGATGTCCGATCTGTTTATTTAGGGAAAAAGAAAGTGAAAGTGTGAAAATGTGAATATTGTTTCAGAAATCAAGGTTTGTCACCGCGCATATTTTTTTTAATTCTTGACATTTTTTATGTTTGACATATTTTATGTTTAAAAATACTTAATGAAAAATTTTATGTTTTGACATATTTAATGTTTTAAATACTTCACTTTTTTCATGTTTTGAATTTTTTAGCAATTTTTATTTTGAGATTTTTTGTGTTTTTTTTACATTTTTTATGTTATGACATATTTTGTGTTTTTATTATTTTGTTTTGACATGTTTTAAAATATTTTGAATTTCGGCAGCTTTTATGTGCGACGTATTTGGTGCTTTAAATATTTTGTTTCGATACATGTTATGTTTTTACATAATTTATGTTTTGATATTTAATGCGTTCTTTTACATTTTTTATGCTTCGACATATTTTGTTTTTATACATTGTTGTTATTTTTAATGATTTTACATATTTTATATGTTGACATATTTTATGTTTTGACACTTTTTATGTTTTGACATATTTTATGTTTAGACATATTTTATGCTCGGACATATTTTAAGTTCTGATATTTTTAATGTTGATATTGTTGTTTGAGCACTTAATATAATTTTACACACACACATCTATTTACGTATGTATTCGTTGAAACGTTTCTCATGCGAAAAATTACTGTATTACCTTTTTAGCGACCTTTACAGCTCTAACTTTTTTAGCCCATTGAACAGAAGTATACCAGCGCTGTACAATTTTATACCAACGTTCCCGTATATATGTAGGTGTTATTTATCGGCAAAGTACCATCGATTTTTTGATTTTAATTTCCAAAAGATTGTTTGCTGCACTTCAGCACATATTCGCCACGCATTAGAGAGAGGTCATTTACCGACATTGGCATTGATAATAATTATTTTTATTAGCTACTTGAGCTATGAAGAAAAAGAGCCGTGGCGAAAGTGATTTTTTTGGCCTGCATTTTCACTCTGAGAGCACTAAAATATTTCTATCCGCTCAATTTAGTAAAAAAATAAATTTACCAATTCTGAGAAGCATTTCAGCACTTTTTATGCTAAGCGTTCACTTTTGTGCTTATCAACATATAATGCTTTAATTATTTATTTTTTTATACCTGAGTACAAATATTGAGAGCTTATACAAAAAAGTAATTTTTCAAACATTCTACTTTTTCCTTAAGTCGCGTCTAAATGAATTCATAATTTAAATTTAATTTATATCATAAAAATATTATTAGCTCAACTGCTCAAGCGTCATTCTTTTGCAAGCCAACCAAAAAATTCACTTCGCTCTGTTGCAACTCTGTTGTAACGGCCACTTGCAGCGTTGCCATTTTGTCTAGTAAAATTTGTTGATCAGTCTTCAGTTGTTGCGTTAAAATTCCGCTTTGAGTATCAAGATTATCGTCGAAAAAGCTTTCTAACTTCCTTAAAAAATTGTCCTCCTGGTTTGTGAGTGTGTTTTCTAGTTTTTCAAATCGTTCTATTAAATCGTTACAGTGTTTTTGTAGATCGGTCGTGCTGCAGAAATACGAATTTAATCTTTTTTCTTTAATTTATCGCAACTAATGTTCATACGTTACCCTTTCATAGCATCTAGTTGTCTTTCAATCTCATCTGTGTCTTCAATTACGTCCTGTAGAGATGACTCGCTGCCGAATAGCAGTGTGAATGCCTTAATGCAAGAGGAAAATGTACGATAGTGTAGTAATATGATAGATAGTGGTAACAAAGAGAGTGAGTGTTGCGAAGATTTTACTATCTCCGCCTATTTAAATATATTTCAAATAAATTTTAACTCTGCGCAAATCCAAATTTTTTAGGTTAGTTGAAACTAGAAATGCTACTTTTTCATAAAAAAGTCCAACTTAAGACAAAAACAGTTGTTGTTCTTCTTTAATTAAAATTCCGTGGGATTTACTTACATTTTCTTCTTGCGCCACCGATGCATGCATATGAGTCCAGAAAAGTACCAAAATTATTAGAAACAATCCGCTGGTCATATTAATATGATTGTTGCTGTACTAAAAAGAAAATATAATATTCTTTCTTCATATTCCTCTTTTTTATTTGTAACAAATAGCCTTCTATTTCTAAGGTTTCGAAAGTGGATAAAGTAATTAAAACAACAATAAAATATTGGCTTGCTGACTTGAAACGGGGTAATAGTGACACCTACGATTCATTTTTATACGGTTGGTTAGAAACTAGATAGCAGTCTCGGTGGCGGACTTCCTTTGGTTTACCGAATCACTGCAACGTTTTTCAGGCGGAACATGGGGCTGTCAATCATCCTCCGCTGAATGGCGCTCTCAGAAAATCGTATCCATTTTTCTGGAAAGCCAGGTCGTACTAAGAGCCCTGGTAACTGTAACAGTAAAATCGAAATCCGCAGAGATCACTTATTGTGCTCCCTAAGCCAGTCCTCTTTGAACCCGGTATGCGTGCCTGGACACAGTAGCATACCGGCTAATGAGATGGCGGAAGAGGTTGCAAGGAAACGTACTTTCCTTCCACTTGCGCCATTATGGAAGAGTTTGGGCATGCCGCTCTCGACATGCAAGCTCAATTTAAGTGAATTATTCATTAAAGATGCTAACTTAAGATGGAGTAGGCTCAATGCGTTTATTGCCACCTGAACAAATGTGGCAAATATGAAACAGAAGAAGGTCATACGGCCTTATCGAGCTAAAACGAAGATCTCTATTATCGAATACCTATAGCTCGCCGTCGTTGGTGAAGCTAATTTTGTTCGAAAGTTTGCCGTCCACTGCTTGTTATTCCAGCGCCCAATCTTAATCGTATGTATGGCGTTCTGAACAAAACATATTTGGTTTGTCACTTAATTTTGACAGATGACGAAATACAGCCCTGTGCTTTTGAAACCATGAAGTGAAGCCCCGCACAGTCACAAATGACTTGTTCCCAATAAACTTCTAATGCTACCCTGTACATACATACATCAGGGATGCTCAACGATATTATTTCGTTTCGCTTATAAGAAAAATGAATTAATTTAAATGAAATCGTTAAAGTTGAAACCGCGCAAAAGGCATCGTTTTAAAATGGCTGCTTGCTAGGCTAAGCTGTTAATAGCATACTGCAATGTTAACGTTTAACATTTTCTGTTAACGATTTAACATTAACATTAACAGCTTTTCGCTTCGCTTTGAAACTAATTTTTTTTTGACAACTGCTTTAACGTTAAATTTTCCAAATGATTGAACCGAAAGGAAAGAAATTTTTCGATTAACGTGAAATTTAACGTTACGACGATGCAGCCTTAACATACATACTTACATATATAATAATAAACATTTCTGTGAAAAAGTTGATCAAAATCCAATATCTTGTGTGAGGTAAAAAATTTCCTCGAGTTAAATAAATTTTGATGACATACATAAATGTGCATATATATATAAATATATATTTCTATGTATACACCTTAAATATACGTACAATCAGCAAAAATTAAAGGCAATTGAAGATCTGTAATTAACAGATTTGAGATCGGAAGTCACATAAAATACACTTATTTTTTATTAAGTTTTTTTCTACGTGCGTTTACAGCCAAATTTTAGATCTGCCTTACTTTTGCGCTATGTCGATTTTAATTTATTTTCCAATTGCCGCGCTTGAGAGGACAGTGGTGTAGCGTTCTTTTCACGATTACATACACAAATTAATTTCACACACAAATTCCCAGAAATTTTAATAAATTGATACTGGCAAATCAATAACAGAAAATGTTTAAGATGTCTATAGTGATGAAGATATATACATATATTAATATAATATTATGCTATTTCCGGTAGTACTCTTTACTTTCAACAGCGACAAGAAGTATTTTTAATTAATATAAAAGTGAAATCAAATAGAAATTAAGATTCAGAAGTTGAAACTTAGCGAAGAAATCAGCGATTAAAAAGAAAAATATTTATAAGATTTTTTTTTTACAGAAATTATATTCCAAGAGCATCTTATCAGCCAGTAAATGAGCACATTTACTTTGCTCTATGCTTAAGTGAGAGTGGGAGAGAGTGAGAGAATGTGTAATTCTAGTATCAATAATCATCAAACACTCTTTTTTGTTTTATGAGTTTGTCGTTCCGCATAAGCGCACATCACTGCCAAGGTTATCACACTTTACTAAGCGAAAATATTTATTTTAATATAAAAATCTCAAGATTTTATGTCGTAAAAAGGTGGCTTTTAGTCCAACTGCTTAATCCGTCATTTGTTCGAAGTAAGGAAATCTTCTCCACCAAGCTTTACCTATTGAGAATTGTTCCGAATAATTTAAAACAAAAGTGAATAAAGTCGTCTTCAATCGATTGTACAGGTGCAGCAGCATTCAGTCTTCGTGTAGACATTCCCTTCTTTTTTGTATCCCTCAGTCAGTGTACATTCTTTATTAAATGCTTGGAAAATGTTGGAGAAATTAAAATTTTTGGACTGAGAGTAAACTCTATGACGTGCTAAGAGCCCTCTTCAGATTCGTTACCTTTTAGCGGGCTTCAAACTCGTACTTCCACAACACTTCTGGGACAGCTCTTAAGCAGTTTAATTCTTCGCGTTAACTTTGAAGAGCTCGTTCATTTGAATTGTTAATTTCAATCAAGATTCGTTCTAATATAATCTAGTACTACACGAAGACCACTTGAGCAATGATCGAAGTTACTTAACCGCGCTATTGGCTTCTCTTTTCCCCCGCTAGTTGGCGTCAGTTAGAAACAACAACTGAAACTAGTTCGCTCTCCACCTAGACCTCTTCCAATGTAGTGCATGAAGGTCTTTCTTTTCCTCTGCTTCCACCAGCGGACACCAAATAGTATACTTTCTAAGCTGGAGTGCCTTTTATCGAAGCGAACGACATGACCTGGCCATATTTCCGCGACAATCGAAATCGATTTGCCCGAGTTTTGTCTTTTACCTGCTATACCATTACCTATTTGCCTAACCTGAGGTTAAAAGATCACCACGCAATGCTAACATGTGCATCTTAGGCGGTCGTAGAAAGCATCTTGGATCATTGTTTTCTTCCAACTAGGCGTGGGTTCGTAAAGTTCTTGGCGTGACTCGGTGCCAAGACTCGTCAGGAGTGGTGTATATCTCTCTTTACAAATTTAAAACCAAATTTGAGCTTTTCTTATATAACCGCTGTTACAGATTTCACAAGAACCCATTTATTGCACTATTTGGTGGGCGGCAGTAATTAGTTTTACGAGTGCATTAGCCGACTGAGTGATCAGTGGTCCTTGAAACCTTTGCAGCAGTTGTTATTAGAAAGGAGTATTTCATTTGGAGCATTTTGTTGATTTTAATAAAGAACGAGTTTTTCTTTTGTGTTCCAAAAATTTGCTACCGGGAATGTTGAGCTGCATTTCTAGCCACACCCAGATAAATAACAGTCACTTGCTTGCCCCATGGCGGGGCTGATCTCCAAAGAGCTCACTTTGAATTGCTGTTTCTGTCTGTTTTGATCGTCAATCGTTTGGTTCGCCTTGAGGCAATGATCCACAATTAGTTGAGACAGGGACTCAGCTCTCTCTTATGGCCCGTACTCAAACTAGTCTTCGACTATTGGTAACTCAGAGTGATATTGGCAGTTTTGTGTTCAAATAATTTAAATTTGTATTTTTTTCAATTAAATTTTTATTTTAATATTTTTTACCTAATTTTTTTCATGAATTCATGCAATTTTTCCCTTGACTATGACATCACGCTTGGTAGGTCTTATCGCCATGTGAACATAAATTATTTTATCATAATTGTTCCAGTGAATATCTGCGAGTTTACGATTCAAATTTCTAGAATGACCGGAGTCTGTTTAGTAAAATATATGAAAAAAATACTGCCGCTAATAACAAAACATACCCATTATCACATACACCATTATTCCGGCTAACATCGTACCACCAGCCGCTGCGTAAGTCGTCCGCACAGTTCTTTTTCTCACTATCCCCCCGATCAAATGTTTGGAAATCAAAGTCCTGGGCATCTGTTAGATCATCCACCTCACCCTCTGTGCCGATATTTGCTATCTTTAGCTGATATTTATCAGCTTCATTTGAAATGGCAAAATTTCTATACTCCACATGCGGACTACTATCAGTGGTGCTTATACCGAGTTGTATCCATAATTCAAGATTTCTCTCACGTGACATCCGATAGATTTTCTCAAGGCCAAAGAAAAAACTTTCAGCTAAATTACCAAAACCATTGCGATAATCCTGCCAATTGCGATGGAATGATAATTTGTCATTGATGCGCCGCTGTATCAGCAGCCACGCTTCGCCACCATTCGGATCGGGTAAACAGTAACCAAACGTGTGTGAGAGATTATAAAGTGTCAAGTCTAATGTATAAATGCCACGACCAACATCATTGGCTGTAGCGTCCTTCATTTTGATTGCCTCATCGCAACTACTGGGGATTTTACCCGCCACTGATGTTGGTGGCCTAGCGTTTACCGCCACCGACTTGTCGTCTTTTGTTGGTAGAAAACTTGTATACGCAGGCCAATCGCGGTCGAACGCTGAAACATCCTCGTCAATGCACTCTATAGCGTTTATAATCTTTTCCAATATTGCTATAGCATTTTTTGGCAAATTTTTCAACTCAGCCGCATTGTTTTCCAAATTTTTCAAATACTCAAATGGCGTGAGTTCGGCTATATCAGGTTTGGACGTCACGCTGTCTACCGGCAGTTCACTTTGTACCCTTTTAAGCAATTTCGTTTCGAATATTTTGAACTCTTCGTTAAATGTCTGACGCTGTGCGTCTACCTGGCTCTGCAGTGCTTTTTGATAATTCCTTTGCGCCTGCAAGATATCTGTGGTTTGATCCCTCAGTTTTTTCTCAATATATCTTTGTATTTTCGGTAAGAGGTTATCCTCCAAATTGTGCTTTTGTTTCTTCTCTAGATCGTCGAAACGTTTCAGCAAGGTTGCATAGTTTATGTGCAGATTGTTTAAGCTGAAAGTGAAGGGATGTGAGTTAAGGAAGGACGAAAAGTGCTAGGAGGTGAAGTGACAGTCAAATTTAGAAAACACAAATTTGCTATTTTTGAAAAAAAAACGAGCTGTTTTGTACACCACAAATAGGTCTGTTAACGAAAAAGGAATCGCGCTAGTCCAAGGTACATCAATTTTGCCACTGCATTTTTTATTTTTATTTTCTTTGTTATTCATTTAAGAGAAGTGCACTTCACAAATCAATTACCTACCTACGTCGATGCTCTTGTAGTTTTTGCTGAATAATTCGCACCTCTCGTTGCAGGCCGCTAATTGTCGCCTCATTGCCATAAAGTATAGTGTACACCTACGTAAAAATAAAAATACAATTTGTTTGCAGATAAATAATTTTTTTTTTAATAGAAAAATTATTTTATTATCCTTTTTTATTGAGATTCTAATTTTTACTTACGTTATTTTCCCCCACCGCTAAAGCCTCTGGTTTGCTCCAGACAATTATTACAGTGAGTAAATATATGAAAAAAGTAGACGGCGTGCCTGTCATGACTGTTTGTTTTGGTATTTTTTTTTTGTATTCCAGATACTTTTTTGTTTGTTTAAATCACTTAAAATTTAACAGTTTTTTCGCATATTTACAAAGAAATACAGCTGGTGACTACACTTATAACTTTCTCTGTCGCAAATGCTCTGTTTATAAAACACTGAAATGATAACGCTCCGTTTGTCCGGAAGTAATAGAGAGCGAAAGAGAGAGAGAGGGAAAAAGAGAGACAAAACCAATAAGAAACCGAGCTAAAGATTCCCAAAGTGAGCGCATAAATACAATCAGTATTAAAAGTTCGATTTTTTTATTTATTGTTCATACGCCGAGCTTTTTGTGCTTTCTAAGTTGAGTAATTCCAAAAAAATATATACATAAAATAAAATAAAATAAAATAAAATAAAATAAAATAAAATAAAATAAAATAAAATAAAATAAAATAAAATAAAATAAAATAAAATAAAATTAAATGAAAAGAAATAAATTTATAATTAAAATGAAAAAAATAAAATAAAAAAGAGAAAGGGGACAAATAGGAAAAATAATATTGAAATGAAAAAATTAAAGTTTAAAAATTACTTAAAAGGAAAGTTTTCAATTAGATGAGAAGGAAAATGAGATTCGCTAAAATATAAATGCATTAAATGAAATTAGTAAATTTTTTTAAGTATCAGTACTCTACGCTGAGCTTCGTATGCAGATGCGTTAATTCAATTCAATAATTCATGTTAATTAAAATAAACGAAAACGGTATAAACAAAACCGATTGCAGCGCTTCTTTTTTGTTAGAATTCTCATTTTATTGTATATAAATATATATTTTTTATTAAAATAATATAAATATATATTTTTATTATTTATTTATTTTCTATTAATATAATATATATTAATATAAATATGTATTTATATAAGCCTAATCAAATACATTTCTAATCGAATTTTATTTCTGAAAGAAACTATGTTATCTAATCATCACTTATGTGCCACTTTGTCATTCTAATGGGCAAATATCACAAGAGCTAAGTCATGACCATATTTATTTTCTCATGCTTGTTTGTTGTCCACTTTCAAGTGGACTCGTTTACTTTCTCAGCAACAATTACGTTCAGTTACTCCGCTTACACTTTTTCTTTTCTACGCATATTTACATGCCAACCCACACATACACGTATGTACATCTATGCATGTAACATTGTATAAGTAAATTTGCCGTGTGTGCGTTCTCATTTGTGTCATATTGCATTGTCGCTGACCCACTTTCAGGCGCGTGAATGTGGCGCTTAAATGCATTTTTATATACATATGTACGTACAAAACACATCAATTAATTTATACAGAGGGTTTTCAAATCGGAGACATTATTTTCATATTCAAAGAAAAATGGCATTTTTTGATTCCATCAATAATAGAAAACAATATCAGCCAAATGACCGCTACGGCTGCGCTTACAGGACTGCATACTTTTAATGAAATTTACCATTACCAAATCGCAAAGCCATCCAATTCTGGCTATAAAAATTCATTAATCATCTCTCAACAGTGCCATCCATTCACCTTAATTGTTGCTCGAGCCTCATTTTCTTAAAAGTAAGGTCCAATGATCCTGCCGGAACATAAACCGCACCAAACAGTTACACGTTGAGAAAAGGGAGGAGACTTTTTAACAATAAATCTTGGGTTTTCCGAGTCCCAGATGCGACAGTTTTGCTTATTGGCATAGCCATCGAGGTGGTAATGAGCCTTATCAGTAAAGATGATTTTTCGATGGAATTCCGGATCATTTTCATGCATTTCAAGGACCTAATCAGAAAAGACACGACGTTGTTGATGATCGGCGGGCTTGAGTTCTTGTGTTAACTGAACCTTAGAAGGCTTAAAACCCAAGTCTTTGCGCAAAATACGTAGTAAGGACGTTTGTGGAATACACAATTTCAAAGCACGACGAGGAATGGACAATCCTGAGTTTTCTTCAACACTTTGGGCCGCAGCAGCCATATTCTTAGTTGTGTTTTATAATGTTTCACATCACCAACTTGTGGCAACAGCTTCACTTTTTCCCACCAAATTCTGTATTGCGGTCCGGCAAGTTGTTTCAGAGCGACCGAAAAGTTTTTTACGAACCATCCCTGTCAGGTTTTCACTATTTTTATTGTGAACTTTAATAATTTAAATCGTTCCATTTTGTTACTGGCGTAGTTTTTACTTATCAAACGTTTAAAAATTACAACTTTAAAAGAGACATCTATCGGTATACCGGCAGGCTATTCAAAATAACATCTCCTATTGGAAAACCCTTTACCTTAGGCGGATGTTTGGTAACACTAAGACGCTAAATTGCAAAGAAATACCATAAAATGTTTTAGGAAAAAAAGATTAAAAATGAAAATTATTCTGAAAGGAACTGAAGCGTCTTTAGAGCGCAAAAATAGGTAGAAAAAAGCATCCGGGCGAAACACCAAAAAAAAAAAATCGCAAAAAAATTGCAAAATTCGTTATCAATAATTTTCAAATAAAACGAGAAAAATATAAGCAAATCTTGAGTGTAGTAAAAAGAAATCCATTATTTTTGCAATAGCTGGCGTTATTGAATCTCACGCTGTATGAGTCCAAACGGGTTCCGCTAGATGGAATTAGAACGATGACATTTCGTCCTAAAAAAGTTTTTTCGACAGTTTTGTGATTTGGTTTTCCCGGTTTTGTTTGAGGTTGTGTCAAAGATGGACACTAACAAAGAGAAAATACACTAAATTTTACTACTACTTTTATTAATAGCGTCTATGGTCCCGATACTTTTGCAGTCAATCATGCACACTTTCGGTTTCATTCCGTTAATTTTGATGTAAAAGAGCTTCACGGAGTGAGAGGCAAAATTTTCGAAAATGTCGATTAAATCATTGACTTTATCGAGTCCGACTGCCGTGCAGGCACTGTTGCGTTTGCCCAAGACCTAGAGATGATACATAACGCCGTTTAGAATCCTTTGAGTAAGGCTGGATACGAAAAGAAAAACTTAAACTATTCAATTTTATGCAAAAATAATGGATTTCTTTTTACTACACCTAATATTTGTTTAAAGAGACTTAAATGAAGTAGTTTCCTGCCGCAGCTTGTATTTTTTCTATTTTTTGTTTTATTATTTATACAATTTTATAATACATTTTTGTTTAAATTTTTATATATAAATAAATAATTTATTTTAATAAATCATAAATAAATCCGCAAGATATTTATTTAATTAATTTTTGATATTTAATAAATAAATAAATCTCTTGTCGAGCTTAAAAATAATTCTCCTACCTGCTTTAGATGCCATAAATCTTTAAAAGCCAAAGATTTCTCCATTGCATCCCTAAAGAATGGCAGAAATTGTGGCAAAATTTTGTTATTTATTGTATTTAAATCATTTTAATAATATTGCATAATGCATGTTGGCATTTAAGTTGCCAAAAAAAAAAAAACACAACAATTGTCAATGATATGTACCGTTCATTCGCTGCAATTTAGAATATTTCGGCAAACTCTGCTCACAAGCTCAAAGGCGATGCATTAATGCAGCGCAGGCACGAGAAGAAGAAGCAGAGAATTTATAAACTTTTGAATGCATAGCTTATGCGGCTGACAGTGTTGACTAAATTGCCAACAACAACTAGTATATTGTGTCACTAACAGCTGCAATTGCAACATGCAACACTAGCTATACTTATAATCGTGTAGTTATGTAGGTACATATATACATGCAGGCATATGGAAATAAAAATGTAAGCAATAAATGCAGAAATTGTGATAGAATGCAACAAAGAGCGTGCTGAAATTAAAAAAAAAAATTAATAAATAAAACATAAAATTAAAAAAATAAATAAAAATAAAAAAAAATAATAAAAACAAAATTAAGAAATAAAAAAATAAAATTAAAAAATGCAGAAAATGTAAGCAATAAAATAAAAAATTAAAATAAATGTAAACTAAAAATTATACTTAACTGGCACAGAGGAGCTAACAGTAAAGTGGAACAGTTGCGCTGACAGTCGACAAGCACGAGTTGCTTTTTCAAATTTACAAAAAGCAAACTTCCAAAAAAAAAAAAATTGTTTTTTTTTTTAGTGGCTTGCTGAACTTTACCTTTATCTTCACAAATTTTTCTACTTTTCGTATTTTTTTTTTTTTTTGGTTCTATTTATTTGTATTTGTGATTTTTTGAACTCATGAAATTTTTGCTCTATTTATATATTGCATTGTAATGGCATTTTTGAGTATGTTTGTAAATTGAATAGAAGCTGAATTGGCAAGTGACTACTTAAAAAGGGTGATCCTTCTCGAGGCTCTCTAATTTTTAACGAAAAAACACAGAAAATTCGAGTTTAATGGAAAATGATTATTATTATAAAATTCGAAAAACTATTCTTTGGCATTTATATTTTGAAAATTAGCTCCTTCAAGTGTTGGCCGCAGCTACGTCTCAGATGATCCATCCATGATGAAATGCCAAACAACACTGAACACTGAAAAATTAACATGACTGCTTGAAGTTTCTTATATAAATATTCAATGACAATTTAATGCCTTTAACAGTAATTAAATAATGAAAGCCCGAAATGTATGAAGTTGCCAACACTCCAATCGTTCGCATTCTTAAAAGTAAAATCTGAAAGCATAAAATATTCACTTTGCTGGCGGAAAATAAGAATTACGTATTTATAATTATCATCAATTGCAACCATATGTTACATAAGTGCCATTGATTGGTGAGAAACTCAATTGTTGTTGCTCAGCAACTTTGCCTTTAGCCGGCGGTTAATGCCAAAGTATCGTAATATGTTAATATTAATAATAAGTTTTAGCAAAAATCAATTAGCGTCGTTGACTAGCTAATAGCTAATAATAAAAATTACAATCAATCGCCTACTGCGTCATCGAAAGTTGGAAAAAAATACATAAATAAATATTATATAACAAACGCACATATTTATGTATATATTTGTTTGAAGTTTTAATAATTATATTGCCACAAGGTAGGTGGCGCATCATTTATTAATTATTTTCGTGTTTTGTGACACCTGAAGGTACATACTCGTATATGCAGACATACATACGCATGTACCATTTAGATAAATCAGGTTCCTTGCGCGAGTACCTGAGGTGGTGTGGTAGTCATTTGCCTGTGGTAAATGTTGTGTGTAGCAAATAATATTCATTAATTTGAAATAAATTGAATAAAATCAAAATATAAAATTTAAAAAACTTTAGATAATTCAACTTAAATTAATGAAACATCACAAAAAGCAAATTGAACATAGAAATATTATGAAATAATATAAAATAATATAAAATAATAAAAATAAAATTAGTTAAATAATAA